CAAGCCCAGCACTCCCCAAAGGGTGCACTGTGAGCTCCTGGAAAACACTATAATTTCAAGGTTATACACGAGAACTTGAAAGAGTAACCATTTTGTATGTCTTAATGTATTTATAAAAACAATATATAAACCATGAAAAAACATTTTTTAAAAGTACTTAACATTTAGAACTGGCTGAGACACTTCTCAACTGTGTTCCAAGCAAGTCCCATGATGGAGGAGGAGCCTGTGGTCCTGTTTCATAGAGTCTCAGGCAGGATGAGTGGTTGAGGAGGACTAGCTAACCGGCCCAACAGGGGAGACAGAGCATCCAGAAGGGACAAAGTCTATGCACATCTCTTTATTTTAACATTTAAAAGAATCACATATTCATTCTGACCACTTTACCAGGTGTGGCCACCCAGGAGGTTACACACCACGCAGGTACCTGGGAGGTTATTGCACAGCTCCTGAACTGATCGGGTCGGGACGAAGGGGCCACTCTGCCCACAGCCAACTCGGAGTTCACCTTCCACAAGGACCCTTAGTCCACACGGGCTGCAGGGCGGCGGCACTTGCACCTTGCCTCTGGAGGATAAAACCAGTGAAGTGAGCACGATTCTCGTGGCTACTTGCGCTTCCGTGTCACGTTTATTGAAGTGGAACCTTCTATACTTTTCCCTAGCGCTGCGCATTGCGAGCAGGCAGTCGGTAGTAGATTATGTCAGGAGTGTGTTCTGACCACTGACACAGCAGCCCTGGCTCAGAGGCTCTCCCCCTGCAAGAGTCTTAAGATTGCTTGCTGGTTGATTCTTTGGATTTTTGGCTACTTGATGGTTTTGAGGAATTTGCTGTGATCCAGGGGTGTTCCAGTACTTCTTTCAGGGTCAGCCTTTGGTTGGGGTTATGCATCAACAGTCTTGAAATCAGGTCCCTGGCCCCCTCTCGTACAAAATCAGGGAATGTGAATTCAACCTGGAGTAAAGTAAGTGACAGGCAGTCACAAAACGTGGTTTAGAGAGAACAGTACAAACATTCAGACCGTAGCCTCAAGGGAAGGCTGAGAAGGACAGAAAGGGTTCTAACAGAGGTGCTGGGCCCCTTCCGGTTGTGTCTTACCCGAGATATTCTTTTGTAGGTCTCTTGGTATGTGCTTGCCTCAAAAGGAGGCTTCCCAACCAAAAATTCATAGCAAAGAACTCCGAGGCTCCAGAGATCCACCTTCTCATCGTGCATTCGGCCTTCGATCATCTCCGGGGGCAGGTAGTCCAGGGTGCCACAGAGGGTGGTTCTCCTGGAAGAGGGAGGTGCAGGTTGCCGCGCTTGTTTCCGTGATCTCAGCAGCTGCTAAAATCACCAACAACTACCCTACCATTGACCGAGTGCTCTTCCTAGGCCAGATCCTGTGCTCTGAGACAGGTGCTGTTCTAAATCCCCACTTTTTTACAGGAAACAGCTTCAGAGAGCTGGATAAGATCACAAGGCTAACATCCAAGCCACACCCCAAATCTGTCCAACTCCAGGAACTCCTTAAATGATGTAAAAATAAGAAATTTTAAGTATCACTGCTATATAAAGGCAGCCATACAAAGTTCTCTGTAAATACAATGTAGCATTTCTTACATCACAGATATGCTAAGAAGCTTAAGAGAGGTGACATTGATGACAAGAAACTAAACTGTCCCACTGTGACAGCACATGCTGCCTTCTGATACAGCACTGGTACAAGAGACACTAAAATTGGAGGGCGGCCTATGAAGTATTCTTGTTAAAAATATTCTCCAGGCCCTTTGGCCCAATTTCCAGCAAATACAGAGGATGAAAGACAAAACTAAGTGTCACCCCTGCAGAAAAATCCATTTTAAGTTGTGGGGAAACTGGTCTAAGTTTAAACAAAAGAGACACAATCAAATATAATGCATGGTTCTTGGTTAATTCTGATTTAAAAGAACAGCTGTAAAATTTCGTGGACAACTGGAGAAATCTGAACATGGACTAAATATTAGCTATTACCACGGTTATTAATTTTCTTAAAGAGTGATGATGGCTGGGACCAGACAGGACAGCATCCTTATTTTTAGAAGATGCACACTGAAGTGCTCGAAGGACAAAGCATCATGATATATGCAACTTATTTTTGAAGGTTCACCAAAAAAGTAGACACAGCCCATATGGCAAAATGTTAACTG